CTTAGCTTCTTTACCAATAAATGTGGATGAACACATTATTGATATTTAATATTATCTTGAAAGGTGTTCTAAAAGAAAGGAAAAATTGAAACAGTTCAAACAGCTGCATAATACTGAAATGAAAAAAATTTTGAAACATGTGTGTACACGCTGGCTGTCTTTAAAGAAATGCTTATCTAGAATCCTCGATCAATGGAACCCACTTCTTGCATTTTTTAAAGAAGAAGTAAATGCTTCGAGAGTTAATATAAAAGGCTCTATTGAAAGTTATAAAGTACCTAAAGTAAATGAGATGTAGTACTACTACTTCCATTGTTAAAAATAGGTTTGAAAAATAAACTAATTTCTGCATCATTCAGCAATTCAACTGGCAGTTCTCAAAATAATACTGCAAAATATAAGCGTAAAGCTGATACAAACTTCTCTCAAAGTAAAAAAAATTGCTCAACACACGAAACATTTTACGATTACTGTAAGTTTATCTTGTGAAGAACGAATATTTATATTTTTTTCTTTGGACCTTAACAAAGCTTTTTGCTTTTTTTTACAATTCATTTTGCCATCATTCGGTGTTCTTAACACAATTCTACAAAGCAGAATTCCATTAATTCATGTTTTCCAATCAATTATTTATGATCTGTTTAAAGACATTTTATCAAAGTTTGTAAAACGAGTCTGTGTTTTGTCTTGTAATTCTATATATGATGTGATTTAAGGTGAAATAGAAAATCAAAAGAAAGTTGAAGATTTTTTAATAGGAGCTGCAACTACAAAAGTAGTGGAAGAACTTTCAGAAGAAGAGAAAAATAAGTTTTATCTTCATGTTAGGAAGTTACTTCTGTCGAGTATGTGATTACATACTACATAAATTTCCAGTCAACGATGAAGTGATTTTGCATGCTAAAGTTTGTGATGTTTCTGCTCTAGCAAATGCATCTTTTTCTGATATAAGGTACTTTTTGAACAGATTTCCTGTGTTACTTCGTTTAGTCATGAAAGATGATGATATTGATGTTGCTACTGATATACTGCAGTCGGAATTTTGCAGTTTACAATTAGAAAACTTGGATGAAGTTATAAAATCAGCTAGGATTGACACCCAGTGGACTTTAATTGGAAAACTGAAAGGTGCTGATGGAATTTTAAAATATAGTGAACTGTCTAGAATTATGTTGGCCATCTTGACAGTTCCCCATAGTGCGGAGTGTGAGAGGATTTTCAGTGTTGTTGCGAAAACGAGGACTAAATTTAGATCTAATATGAGTGATGACACATTAGAAAAACTTTTATTAGCGAAAGCAGGCCTACATGGCAATTGCTATGAACAAAATTATGAAGTTTCTTAACGAAAGCAAAATCTGCCACTGTTCATAGCATTCGTATGAAAACTGATTAAAGTTTTTTTTTTTTTTTTTTTTTTTTTTTTTACACGATGCAATTAATAAAAATGTTTTTTATGTCTAAGGTATTTTTGTGTTGCTTGCATTTAAGACTTAGTAACTATTAAAAGTTAATTCATTATTAAAAACTATATTTTTATCATTTAAAAAGTCTTTTTAACATTGTGAAAAATCTCCTGATTTCTTAAAAAAATCTCCTGATTTTTGAGTGTCATAGGTTGGCAAGTATGTAGACATTTGTTGAGAAAAGGCAACGGGAAGTTGCTTAATTTATTTATTAGGATAATTAATTTTTGTATGAAGGGATATTTATTATTTCATTGTAATTTTGTTATATGTAATAATTTTTAATCTGTTTTTTATTATATATATATATATAAAATATTTTATTATGTATATATATATATATATATATAAATGAAGTTGTTCTGCAGAGTAAATTTCTGCACAGTTTTACGAAGTAAAGGAAGTATTGTAAGCACAAACAAATTTTTAGTATCGTATTTCAGTGAAAGTATTGATTTTGACTGCTATCAAATGCAATTTAAGTATGTTTCTGTTTGATATCTGTGCATAAGGACAGAATAAAGAAGGGCACTTTTTCCCAAAATGAAATCTTCAGAAGAGATTTTTTTTCCATGAGGTCTGTATGTACGAATATACGAATATACACACATATGTATCTGGCATAACTCAGAAACGAGTAGCACAGAACGTTGAAATTTTGTATATGGGACTGCTATAACATGTAGTTGTGCACCTTCCTTTTTGGTTGCAATCGGCTACACCAAATGTATATAAATATATACACTCTGTCACCCCCCCCCCAAAAAAAAAAAAGCACCTAGAAGGAAATGAACTATTATCGTGAAACTTAACATGTACGTAGTGTATGAGGAGATAAACAAATGATTAGAAATTCAGAACAAAAGATCGTTTTATTAAAAAAGTTATGGCATGAAAAAGGTTACAAATCAGTAAGTAGTATAGCCACCTCTGTCAGCTGTACAATCCGAAACATGGCATAGCATTGAATCGAATAGGTCACATGATCCATTGCGAATGTTCATACCATAATCTTTGCAACTTGGCAGTTAACTCACCAATATTCCAAGGCGGCTGCGTGTCTTCCAAATGTGCTGTATTGGCGAGAGGTCTGCTGACCTGGCAGGCCATGGGAATATGTCATATCCTTGAAGACATTGTTGGGAGAATCGCATCTGAATCATAATGTAGATGGGCAGCTGATTGATGTCCGCCCCTTTTTTTGCAATGGTATATCGGATATGCAAGACTCTACTGTGATATTGTGAAGATCTTGATAATAATATTTTGGTGTTTTCATAACTGGCAATCGACTGAATTTTGTTACTTAATTATTAGTTTTGTAACAGATAGTGCCACCTCTTTTCCCATTCATTTCATCACACAGTTTAGTGTGCTGTCAGCCAATGAAACATCCAATTAAAAATTCAGAACTAGCTTTCAAATTTGCATGATTACATTTATTATTATTTAATATTAATAATTTTTTACATTTTGCAAAATATTTATTTCTTTTGCTGTATTTTCTGGTAAGAAAACTTACAGTGTGGGAATAAAAGGGTGAAATAATTTTTTTTATTAGATTAGCTGTTTAAATATTTCAGTGAATTACTCTATACAGTCAAAAGTCTTTAATCCGGACTCGTCAGGACTTCGGGGATTCCGGATTATAGATCATCAATTTAAATCTGATAAGATGGCATGTAGAAATTATAAAATTAAAAATATGAAACCATAATTTATGAAATAAAGAGCAATTATGATCTAAAGAGTATCATAATTTACAAAAAAAGGGGGGCAAAGAGCTTAATATTTATTTCTTTCCTTTATTAAACATTTCTTTCAACACGGGCATGCGTAAAACATACATTACGCATAGTCGAAATTAGAAAACTGCAACCAGAAAACTATTTGATGTGTATTCGTTTTATTTATAATGACGAGGAATTTGATTTAAATCATATCAAAGACGGAGACATCGAGATGAAATACTACATTTAGTAAGGAATTATAAGCCGAATAAAATAAAAACATCTGCCCTGAAGATAAGGCTAGTGCTGACAGATCAACTTCCAGCTCATTGCTGGACATCCCCCCCTCTCCGTCAAAGCAGCGTGAAATTGATAAACAGATTTCCGAATGGTTAGAGAAACAAAAGATATGCCTTTATCCATTTTTTTGCAGCAATTCCACTTTTTGTTCGATGAACATTGAAACATGCTTGCGCTTTATAGATCCTTTGGCAGCTCCAGAATCGGAAATTCTTTTTGACATAATCGAAAGTTCAAGTTTACTTTTATAAAATTGCTTTAACAGTCTGCAAAAAATAATAAGCCGGATCCAATTCGAAGATTAAGTAACGATGCAATCTACAACATTAACTGAAATAGATAATTAGATAATTTTAGCCTAGCTTATACAGACCGTTATACATTAGACGCGCATGCGTAAACATATTATTTGCATGTGTAAATGCATATGCGCATGCTTAAATGCATTATGCATTTACGCATGCGCATAAAGTTTGTAGCTTTGAGGTTTGGATTATAGATCATTCCGAATTATGGATGTCCAGATTAAAGACTTTTGGCTGTATTAATATAACTGAAAGTGAGCCCCTAGGTGTTATGGATATAGATTATATCAAGAATTTCGTGCATATAATGAATGAAACAGGTAAGAGATAAGATAAAATAAACCTGATTTTGTACTGCTGTATTTGTTTCAAAACCTATTTACAAACAATTTGTTCGAAGCAGAGTGTTGAAAGAAGAGAGATAATTATCACAGTATAATTACATTCAAAAATTATTGTTGAAAAGGTGTTACTTATGAATACCAATGTTATGAGTAAGAATTTTTCTATATTTAATTTTGAGTTGCGTTATCAGATTTTGAATTATTTTGAAAAATTTTGTGAATTGCATAAAATATATATTATAGCTTGTTATCTTCCCTTCTGACCACTGTATATTTGTGTGTTATTAGGGAAAACTAAGTATGTACTTTGGATAACCTGTTAAAGAAAGCCTAATTGGACCAAAAATGGCCTATTTATAGATTTATTTTTCACTCTGAAAAACTGTGCTTTTTATTTTTAGGAAGTTGTATTTGTTTAAGAAATTTTTGAGATAATCTGTTTGCCTTAAATAAATTATCTTTGAAATCAATTTATAATTATTTTTAGTTGGTTTAAAAAAATTCATTTATATATCTTGGAACTGTGTGATATGTTATTTAATATAAAATTTAAGCACTGAAATTTTCTTCTCTATAAAAGTACTTGAATTTGTGTAGTTCTAGCTTCACTTCCTGAATTATAAATTCAGAATTAGATTAAAATTTTGAGTTTTATTCTCCTTTTAAAGACATCCTTGCCTTTAAATAACTAGTATCTCATTGTTGGTTATTTTAAGCAAAGACATTTAATTAAAATTAATTTGACTTTTGTATCCAAAGCTTGATTTTTCTTTAAAATCATGAAAAATTCTAATCTAAGGTAATTTTATGTTGTTAATATTTCACAAAATTAAAATTATTTAAAATCATTTTTAGGGAGGAATTCTAGAATGTAAAGAGAAGAGAGCAAATTTGAAAACAAAGGCAGAACAATTAACTGAAGAAGAGCATCAATTGAAATCAACTGAAATTGAGTATAAAAATAAATTAAAAAATTATGAAGTCGCTGAAAGTGAAAAGCAAGCTATAATAAAGAATATCTCTGCAAAAGTATGTTTTTATTCTTTTTCTCTAGTTAGAAAAAATTAGTATTTAAAACTATTTTATTAGTTTTATTTATGTACTTATATAAATACAAGGTGGTCATAAAAAAATTTCCCCAATGTGTAAATCTCAAGCAATCAAAATGAAATTTCAGATATTGTTATTTGAAGGTGTGACCTCAAGAATATTATGATTTAAAACAGTAGAGCTCTCACAATTACAGTTACGGTGGAAAATATTGAAATTTTTTAATGGGAACACCCTTTTTTTTTTTTTTTTTTCCTGTGCAAATTGAACATTGCATTGAAAAATCACAAATAGTGTTGGAACGATACATGCATGACAAAAATATCCAGTGTTAAACATTTGCAAAGAAATGCATTGAAAAAGGACAAATGACAAAACAAAAGGGAAGAGAGAAAAAAGCTTTTATTGGAATTATGAATTTTCTGCGTGCCCACGTTTTCAGATGATAACACATTCATTGCATGCAGGAGATTGTTGACAGCAGTGATGAAAGTAACTTGGCTGGAGGAATCTGTATAACTTCATGTTTTATGGCATCTCTCTATTCTGACAAATCTCATGGATCTGACTTGTACACCTTAGATTTCAGATAACCAAGAACCAGAAATCCATCGAAATGAAATTGGAGATCGTAGTGTTGATGAAACTGCAAAGTTACAGGTGATGACTCTACCTCTAAAGTTCTGTTATAGCATTTGCTGAAAATGTTCTGACGTGTGGAGGAGTACCATCTTGCATCTACAATGTCATGAACAACATTTTGCTTTTCCAGTTCTGGAGGAATTTGTTATATAAGTTGACTTGTCAAACATAGATTAATTACTGTTTATTTATAAGATTAAAGTAGATTACTTATACGTAAGAGAGACATTGATGCTACATGGTTGGCGGCAAGTGACGAGAGTGTGACGCAGCACAAATACCGTGCACTTGCCTAGCTAGTCAGATTAGAGGCACTGCCATCTATTGGCAAGCATAGTAAATAATATCTAAATATGATCTTTTTATTTTTAGAACAAGACTAGTGCATGTTACTAACGTAGTACTATGATTATTTTGAATCATTACTTACTTAGCAGTTAACTTCAGAAAACATTTTGACATTAAACTATTACTTAACAGTTGACTTTAGAGAACATAGTAAAATTACATACCTTGATGGCTCACTTAAATCATTAAAATTATGACTTACTAATTAAACTGGTATTTTAGAGTTCTGAACAGTTCATTAAATTCCATAATTAGTCTATAAATAAAGTATAATTTTATGGCATCAATAAGTTCTTCCTAATTATCTGTATATCGGAGAGGTTTTATTCTATTTCTACTTGATCGTCTTAACACTGGTTCAGTTGACACATTTCCTGGAATTTGAGAATGTTTATTAGAATCACTTTTCTGTACCTTAGGTGGATCCTGCTAATCATTATCTACAAGAACAAGTTGATCCAGTATTGATTTACCAAGTCCAAACAAATCTTCTGCTGTTCTGTTCCACTCTGTCATTTTACACATAGTTTTGTCTTTACGAATGTGATATCGGTTTCTCCTATACACAGTTCCATTTTCTTTTATAACATAAGATCTTGGCTGTAGATCTGTCTTTATGATCATACCCTGTTTCCCAAGGTTCTTTAATTTTCCCTTTGAACCATACTTTCTCATTTTCATGAAGTTTTGGAAGCTGGGTTGTATGTTTATTGGCATATTTGTTTTGCACCATCTGCCTTTTTTCCAAGGCTTTACTTGTACCTTTTATTTGAAATTTTGGTTGCAGTGCTTTAGGATGTGATGGCAGAAAAGATCTCAGTCTTCTTCCCATTAATAATTCAGCCGGAGATTGCAAATCTTTTGCAGATTGAATTCTGTAATCTAGCAAAACAATATACAAGTCTTTTCCTTCTTCTGCAGCTTTGCTCAGAGACTTCTTGAGAGTTTGGACAGATCTTTCAATTTGCCCATTTGCTCTAGGAAAATGTGGTGATGTGATGTTATGCATAACACCCCATTCTTCAAGAAATTTTTGCAATGCTTCCGAGTGTATGGTGGTCCACCATCAGTGATGAGCTTCTCTGATATTCCATGTGTTGCAAAAATGGACTTCATAACTTAAGCTTTTAAGTGGTTTCAGCTCTACATATTTTGAAAAGTAGTCTATCATTAACAGATATTGTTGTCCTTTCAGGTAAAAGAAATCACAGGCAATTTTTTGCCAGTATCTCTCTGGTAGATCACAGTTCTAAAAAAACTTTCTGATTAGCCTGTTGATATTTCTGACATATTGCACATTTGGAAACATATTCTTTTACATCTTTGTTGATGTTAGTCCAGTAAAAATATTCTCTAGCTTTAGTAGAAACTATACCTTTGTGAGACACATGCAGTTTTTTCATAATTTCTTTCCTAAGAGATACTGGTACAATTAGTCATTGTCCTTAACAAATTATTCCATCCTTTGTCGCATAAAGCTCTTCTTTGCAATGCTAGTAAAGTTGTGCTGCTGGCCTTGTTTTGCTTCTTTCTGGCCATCCGTTTTTTATGTGAAATAACACATTTTGCAATTCAGGGTCCTTTTCTGTCATTTTTACAATTTCCTGCCATTTTGTTGGAGAGGCTTGTGTTAATAGACATACATTAACAGTAGATTCTTGGCTAAAGGTGTCGTCAAAGGTGTCAAAAGTTGTCTGTGCTCTGGACAGGGCATCAGCTATTAGCAATTCTTTTCCTGGGACATATTCCAATTTCAAATCATACCTGTTCAGTTTGAGGAGCATGCGCTGTAGATGAGGTGAGATTGAATCATAAGTTTCTTACTAAGGCCTAGTAATGGTTTGTTATCAGTCTGCACTGTTACATGTCTTCTCTACGTATAGTAGTTGAAATGTTCTAACCCATATATAACTGCTAAGAGTTCTTTTTCAATCTGTGCATACCTTTGCTGCATTTCTGTCAATGATGCTGATCCAAAAGCCACAGGTTCATTATTTTGTAGGAGAACCGCCCCAATTCCATATTTACTGGCGTCTACTGACACAGTTACAGGCTTGCGCTCATCAAAATACTGTAAACATGGGGCTTGCACAATCATCTGTGTTAGGTGATGATTGTGCAAGCCCCATGTCTCTTTGGACGTTTTCATCCCATAACCATTCACTGTCTTTTCTCAAAAGTTACCTTAATGAGTGAGTTAGACTTGACAACTGAGGTGTGAATTTTGCTAAGTACGTGACCATTCCTAGAAATCGCTGCAAGTCTTCTCAGCCTTTTGGTTCTGCAAACTTTTCAATCACTTGGATCTTCTTTTGATCAGGTGCAATGCCTTTATCAGACAGTACATGTCCTAAATAAGTCACAGAGGTCCGAGATAGCTGTGTCTTCTCGATGTTAAATTTTAGATTAGCACTTCTGGCTATTGTGTCGTCCGCAACAACTTGCAATGTTCTTTGACTGATGATGATCCTAGGGCTAAATCATCAAAATATGGATTTATCTCATTCTCATTGCTAAAAATCTCCTCCATGGCCTTTTGAAATTCCTCAGGTGCATTGTTCAGACCGAAAGGAAAAACCCAAAATCTGAATTTTCCCCAGGGCGTTGTAAATGTTGTCAAGTATGATGACTCATCGTCAAGTGGTAGTTGCCAAAATCCATTCTTGGCATCCAAAATGGTAAATATTTAACATCCTTGGAGTTTTGTCATAAGGGCTTCTGCTGTAGGAATTGGATAATGAGGTCTTTGAATAGCCTCATTAAGCTGCTTTGGATGTAGACAAATTCTCAATTTCTTTGGCGTATTTATCATAACCATGTTGTTCACCCATTCTGTAGGCTCATCAACTTTCGCTATGATGCCAGTTTCAACCATTCTGTTTAGCTCCTGCTTTACTTTTTCATGCAAAGCAAGTAGCACTTTACATAGTGCTGCAACATGAGGTGTGACTTTTTTTTTTTTTTTTTTTTAATATAATTTTTTATCTTTACTGTGCGGTTTAGTTTTTCCACACCAGTAAACATATCTGCAAATTCCTGTATCACTTGCTCTCCTGTCTCTTCATTCTTTCAGTCAGACCCAAGTCTTAGCAAGCCTGAAGATCCAAAATAGGAGATGATTCCAGAGTGGTTCTTGTACCAGAAATTTGAGAGTTTTTGTCAGTTTTTTAGTTTTACAAGTAAGGTAGCACTCACCTAGTATTGGTACTTGGTTGTCACTATTGTTGTGAAACTGATTAGCTGTATCTAACAAATATTAAAAACAAATCTCTTCATTTTGATGTACGAGACACAGATGGCGTTGGCTGTCATTGAAGTAGGAAGAAAAAAAGGGTTTTCCTCTTTCGACCTCGTGACGTGAACTGATTAAGTGTAATAACTTTCGGGGCCAGAAAAATTTCCCGACAATTGTTAAGAAATTTATATATTTTGTAGTATAGAGAGAATATAATTAGATAAATCAACATATTAGAGTTTTTATTACAGATTCAACATCACACTACCCAGGTAAGTGAGCAAGTTTTGTCTTTAGTTTTTCTGGATTGCTCGGTATCTGGGATGAGTGAAGGAAGTATTTTTATTTTAATGATATTTAATGATAAGACTATGTTTTAGTAATAACAAAAGTGGCGTCCGTGACAGGATTCTTAAGAAAGAAAAACTTTAAAAAAATATTTTAATGGTTATAGATAGTTTTTGATGTATTAAAGTATAATTAAGTTTAAATTCGAAACTATTTTTTGTAAAGCAGTTTTGTTTTATTTTGAAAGTTAACTATGGAAGCTTTAAAGGCTCTGAAACTTAAACGGGCAGGTTTACGCACTTCTTTTGCAAAAACTGCTAATATTTTAAAAACGGAATTAGTAAAAGAAGATTTTTCTGTAGATTTAGTACGAGATAAACTTACTAAACTACAAAATGTATATTCAGATATAAAAAATGTAGATGATAAAATTCTTGATTTGTTAGCTGAAGACGGGAAAAACTTT